GTCCAGTTTTGGTCCCCCTACTACAGAAATTATGTGGACAAATTGGAGAGAGTCCAGCGGAGGGCACTGAAAATGATTAGGGGCCTGGGGCACATGACTTACTAGGATAGGCTGAGGGAACTGGCCTTATTTAGTCTGCAGAAGAGAAGAGTGAGGGGGGATTTGATAGCAGCCTTCAACTACCTGAAGGGGGTTCCAAAGAGGATGGAGCTAGGCTGTTCTCAGTGGTGGCAGATGACAGAACAAGAAGCAATGGTCTCAAGTTGCAGTGGGGGAGGTCTAGGTTGGATATTAGGAAACACTATTTCACTAGGAGGGTGATGAAGCACTGGAATGGGTTACCTAGGGAGGTGGTGGAATCTCCATCCTTAGAGGATTTTAAGGTCCAGCTTGACAAAGCCCTGGCTGGGATGATTTAGTTGGTGTTGGTCCTGCTTTGAGCAGGGGATTGGACTAGATGACCTCCTGAGGTCTCTTACAACCCTAATATTCTATGATTCTATGAACGTAATATTAGGAAAGGGTCTAATGCAATGTAGCTGCTGCCATCCAGGAGGAGAACCAGTACCATGTGACCAGCCATGTCAACAGACAACCAGCAAACAGTGCATGGCCCACAGTTTGAGCAGCTGTAGACCACATCTGCCTCTGTAAAGCATAAGGCCAAAGGAAGAATGAATGGAGCCACCTAAATAGAGCAACAATTGCCTCACAATCCAAAATGGACACATCAAAATAATTTATTTCAATGGCAGTTAGGTGCCTAAATACCATTGAGGATCTGGGCCTAAATTACTTGCTCAAGATCACGCAGGATGTCTGTGGTAGAGCAGGGAATGGAACTCAGATTTTGTGAGCCCCGTTCAGGTGCTGTAACCACACAATCTTCCTTCCTCACTCAGCAAAGTGTCATTTCAGTGGCCAGCATCAAGCCACTTCATGTTGAGAAAGAAAACAGCTCCCTTTACATATTATTACAACTCTCTTGGGTTCTTGGCCGGACTTTAAGTGAAACTCTTCCCCTGTGTAGTTCTGCAAGGGTTGGAGGTCAGTAAGAACAGCATGTGCCGCCTGAGAGGAGCGGGGAGATGTGGATAAATTAATAAAAAGAACCGAGCAGTGCATTATTCATTGCTTCCATGACACAAGGAAGGAAAGTTTCTAAGGGCTGGACTCCTATGTGCGCATGCAGTAGTGGGTCTGAAAAGATGCGTGATATAATTGACTACGCAGGGCTAATATAGGACCTAATCTTCTCCCTTCTGAAGAAAGCATAAAACCAGACTCCCTCTTTAATAATGAATGATCCAGCCGGGGCCTGAAAGTACATTTTTGATTTTCATCAGTGACAGAGGATGATTTCAATTTTTGCTTTGTTAATCAATATTTGAGCTGTGTCACTGGAGCTGGTTATGCTATTGTTGTGATGTCACTGATACACACGTTGATATTATTATAGCTGGGAAGATCAGGCTACATTATCTTTTTGCTGCTTTGGCCAGGTAACTTGAGGCCGCAGCCCTATTGACTTAGCCCTGTCTAACGCTGAAGCATCTGTGCTGTAACCGTAGCCTGCTGTGGATATGGTGCTTTTGTGAGAGCTTTGTTTAACTGCTGACAGCTTTGGGGAAGAGCATGAAACTGTCTCAAACATTTTCACTGTACCTGCACCTCTCCCGCCCAAAGACGCTACCTGCCAGAGGATATTAGAGAATGGCTGGCTAAGGACTGAGGGGAATGTTTGGACGGTAACCCGCTCCTAGGGGTTTGCCAGAGAAGCCACTGGAATGTTCTTGACTTCAGAGAAGGGGCTACTCTCTCTCTAGAAAGCCTGGAGTGACATTATGCTACCTGCCTTTAATTTTGGTTTTCTTTAGGATGTGAATGCTGGCTGCTGACTATGCTTTGGTGGAAAGCAGGCTAGGCAGAGACAACATCCTGTTATCCAAAATGCATCCGTTCCCTTGTTCGGCCCTGCTTACCTGTTTTGGAAGCGTGCGAGAAAACACTCCTTTCGACCAAACTGACGGGAACCCCTTAGCCGCTGAGGTGCAAAAGGCTGAAACGGACTCAATGATATGCAGGCAACCGTCTGCAAAAGGAGCTGGCAGTGTGAGTCACAGCGGAGAGAAGAGTGGGGAGGAGATGTTCCAAGCCAGCAGCTGCTCAGAAAAACACAGCAGCGCAAACAGCAATTCAAGTAATCATGTTGTTGCTCAGCCCGCACCTACTCCTACAGATCCATCTATGCTTCCTGAGAATGAGCCGGACCATGATCCCATTACAGTCCAGACTCACATCCCTAGACCATCAATCATTGGCGTGCCAAAGGTGAGTGCTCTAAATGCTGATATACGGAGTGATAGAAGTGGCTCTTTAATAAACCAAAGCATAAAAAGCAAACGCATCATCTATTTTGTATTGATTGGAACAAGACAGGGCTAATGGTCGCTCATACTTAAATAACACAACACGGCAGCTATTGCTTTTCTGGACTATTATAGGAAGGCTTGGGGAATATTAGTAATAATACTGTGCACTTCTGCAGTGCTTTTCATTCACAGATCTCTCCCTATTCTTTGTGACCCGCACTTACTTTTGGACCTTATCCAAAGCCCATTGAAGTTTTTCCATTTACTTCACTAGGCTCTGGATTGGGCCCTTCGTCATGTTGTCTTCAGTTTTAGAGTGTACACATCTTACGGCCGGATTTCTCCATGTCTTCTGTAAATACAATCTCTCCTGGCTTTAATGAGAAACAATACGGCATGTAGCACATTTATGGGCCCTATCAATCAATAAATAAGAATAAACAAATGTGATATGCAAATTTCCACCAGGCCAGAAAGTGACTGAGTTAGGAATAGAACCCAGGTCTCTTGACTCAACTTTTTAATAGCGTGGGCTATATTTTAATAGAACATTCTTATATTACCTTCCCTCGGCCATTCACAATGACTAGGACCCTACCAAATTCGTGGCAATGAAAAATACATCATGGACTGTGAAATCTGGTCTTGTGTGTGCTTTTATCCTAAACTATGCAGATTTCATGGGGGAGACCAGTGTTTTTCAAATTGGGGGTCCTGACCCAAAAGGGAGTTGCAAGAAGGTCACGAGTTTATTTTAGGGGTGGTCGCGGTATTGCCACCCTTACTTCTGTACTGTCTTCAGAGCTGTTGGCCAGGCGCCCAGCTCTGAAGGCAGCACCCTGCCAGCAGCAGTGCAGATGTAAAGGTGGCAATACCATACCATACTTACCATACCTTACTTCTGCGCTGCTGCCTTCAGAGCTGGGCAACCGGAGAGTGGTGGCTGCTGGCCACATCTGCTCTGTCTGAAGCAATTGGTGCTGCCTTTGTTTACAGCACTGTTCTCTTCTTTGCAGCCAAAGGGACACCACCAATAAACACATCATTGGCCAAACTATAGCTGCGGCAGAGCAGGTTCCCTACCGTTAATAGAGAGAGCCCACTTGGTGCTCCTTACTCCCAGAGTGGCTGTTGATGCTGTACTGCAGGCCTGTACTGAGGAAAATGCAGGTCACAATGATCTACAGGTCCATCTGTGACTACAGGAAGAGGAAGTAATGGAGGAACCGCTATACTGACTCTACCGTACCCTCGGCTGGGGTGATTCTCACATAGCCTGCTATGCTTCTTTGAACCATCACAACAGCAAAAAGTGGTCCCAATGCACAGCAGGATGTGGCTTATTCAAATCTCCAAGTTCCCCCACCTGGTCCTGTCTGTCTCTTTAAGACTTATACAACCGATTCTCCAACCCTTACAAGCCCCCTATATGACTTCCCTGATCCTCAGCAAGGGCTGTCTCCCTCTACCTGCTGTGCTGCCTTCTTGTGAGGCGGGCTGCCCCTGAAGGTACTCAGTGCCACAGCTAGGGAGTGAGCCACCCTGGCGTCTCTCAAAGATGAAGCCCCAACTCCTGAGGTTGAGCAGGGCTTTGTTGACTGAGCTTGCGAGGCCTGACCCTCAGCTCAACGGCATTTCTCTGTTGGTAACAGGATACATATGGATTGCTGCATCCAATCCATTCCAAAATTGTGGGGAACATCCTAGGCATCAGTGATCAGAGAACCCTATTGATTTTGGTGACATCTGGAAAACTGGAAGAGGGAAATGGAGGACCAATGGGGCCCCTTGCATCTAGTTAGCAGAGCTTCAGCCACCTCTATAATTGTCTATAGATGAAAGAACCGGTTGAGAGTGGTGACTAACACCTTCCAACAGAGCAATACCCACCATAGACCATAGACCCCACACAGTTTAAAATGCTGACCCCCTGGATGACTTAACTTCCAGATAGAAAGGAAAGAAATAAGACTGGTCAGAGGGAAGGAGAGCCTGGGTGGCACACAGAGCCCCTGGCATGGGGTGGGGGAAGAATGAGACACAACATTATGGGGAAGAGGACAGAGTTCCTACCGTTGTGGGGAATGGGGACAATGGTATGGAAAGGGACATCGGGGATACACAGAGGCCCTGGTATGTGGTAGAGAAAGGAATGGGAAGCACACAGAACTACTGGCATAGGGGAGAAGGGTGGGTCACAGAGCACCTGGTATGGAGGAAAGGAGAAATAGGGAAACCCTGGTGCTGGGGGAGGGAAATATTGGGGTGGTGTTGCAGGGAGCCCCTGAAATAGAGGGAGATGCAAGGATGGCATGAGGGAGCTTGTGGGAAGAAGGGAGGGTTACAAAGACCCCCTGGTGTGAACTTGGCCTACAGACACAACAAAGCGTGTGATCTTCTAGAACATAAGGCCCTGAAAGAAAAGGGGAACTACTAGCAGGAAGTAGCAAGCTGCTGGCTTCCCCTAGCAGGGCAATAATGTGGAAGGTTAGGAGTTACAGAGGGCAGAGAGGCCATACTTGGCTCTTCAATGGGAGAATGTGTGTAAAGTTCCCTGAACATCAGAAAGTGCTGTTCAGTTTGGCCGGCATTAATCGATGTAGGCTTGAAGGTTTAACTGAATTAATTCACTCATCTCTTCTGCCAGCTTCTTAAAATTCCAGACAGTTCCCTGCTGACCTGGCTTTATATAGTGGCCAGGACATATATCTGTTGCCAAATCCGAGTCAACTCACTCACAGAAAGGTCCCATTGACTTCAGCGAGTATGTGGGGGACTCAGATGAGCAGAATCCCTCAGTGTATTGACAGGAACTATTTTCCACCGGTTGCAAAACACCTTAATTCTCCCCATTTCCTCACAGGAAAACAGAAAAATCTTTTTGGTAGCTAACTGATTGGAATGAAGAGGCTTGAGAGCCTGGCATTTTAAGTAGGTTTTTTTTTTATGGCTCTGAATTTTGCAAAATAAATCAGCCCCCCCCCCCAAAAAAAAAAGTTTCAGAAGCTTTAGCTTTATAATAATAAATGTATTTGGTCTTCAGCACAATTGATAATTGTGTTCAAAATCCATGCATCACAAAGAAAGGCAGTGAGGTCCAATGGACAAAGTCGGGAAACCCAGTTTCCCTTTCTTTGTGTGCGACTATGGGCAAGTCACTTAACCTCTCTTTGCCTCAGTTTCTCCATCTATAAAATGGAGACAATGGTTTTCCACCTTCCTTTGTAAAATACATTGAAATCTATGGATTAAGAGACCAATATAAGTGCTCAATATTATTAAAAGACAAATACATGATCATAAAAACAAGAATGCCATTCTATAATAAGATAAAGATCAATATATAGCAAAGTGACTTAAAATCCATGAGCTCACATCAACATTTCATAAGAAGAGTTAAGGGAATATCAGGAACGATACAGATGCTTTTCCTCCTTCATTTTCATAGCCACATAACAAAAGAGCTTGCAACAAATATTATAGGATCTCCCAACACCAAGATACCCTCTGTCTACCTGTCAACATATAATCCTTTTCAAACAGAGGCTCAATCCATTTTTAACTCATGGTGGAATAAAATTCAAATTTGAGCAGATAATGAACTAATTAACTAGCTCTTCCAGCTGACCCTCCCCACTGGGACACACACAAAGATTTTGAAGTACAATGGAGTTGCATGCATGTAATTGAATCTAGAATTTGATCAATTATTCCTTGTACCTAAAACAGTGGATTCCATCTGCTCTATATGGAGCCAACTTTAAATCTGACAAATTTCATCTTCCCCAAAAATTAGATCAAAACATAATTGTAAAAGAGATTAATTTTGACTATTTTAGTCAAATTAATTTTGTGGCAACAATTTGCTTCTAAATAGTTGACCACATTTCTAATATTTAAAGCTTGCCCAACTAATACAGTGTGATAAAATACCAATAAATTTGTTAGTCTCTAAGGTGCCACAAGTACTCCTGTTCTTCTTTTTGCGGATACAGACTAACACGGCTGTTACTCTGAAACCTTAAAATACCAATGTGATTCTCCGCATCCAGCGTCCCCTTTTGTTCCAATTTTGGCATATGGTGAATTCATTCTATTGCATTTTGTATATAGGCCTAAGGGTCTTCATCACACTTTATCAGGCTATAAATCAAAACTGTCAGAACTATACATCTAAGCACGCTAAGACTTCAAAACCCCAGATACAGCACCTA